CAAGGTATATCTGGGAAGAAAATAGTTCAGCATGATAAGAGTTGAAAATCTATTCAGCTATATGGTTGGTGTGATAAGGGTGAAGTGTAGGGGTGTTAAGGTTGATACTGACAGATGATCACATGTGTATTTAGAAAGAACTCTGTAGAGGGTAAGGTAAGAAGGATGGGTTAGAAGGAGGTACATATGTAAATCTGCAGTATGACTGGAGGCTCAGAGACCAATTAGGAAGCTCTAACAATAATCCTGGTGGGAGATACGTCAATAACCAAGTTCCATCTCCACAGGGGGGACTGGTTTAAAGTCCAACAATGGAAGGATCTCTAAGAGAATGTGTGCAAGGAGAAGGGGAAAAGAGGGCCACCACCTCACTCTAAGGACAAGTACTATTTAAAAGCCTTGGAAAATAACACAAAGAATCTATATTTGGACATGCAGAGGGAAAAGTAAGAGAATCAGTTCATGGTTATGGAAGGCAAGGTGATAAAAACTTGCAAGAGCCATCTTGCTTTTACACAGGCATCAGAGAGAACATGAAAAGCATTTGATTTCCTCAAGGATCTCTGGGCCAAGTCAGGGATCACTGGATGCTGCTGTAATTCCTCCCACAGAATCTCTGCTCCCTCCACATCTCTACCTGCAGAATCAGTCTCTGATTGCTGGAAGGGACCCTGGAGACCTAAGAGTAAAATCCTGGGAGTCTCTGCTAGAGGGAGTCCTGTCTCCCTCTGACGCAGCTATACTTTGGCTGAGCTCTGCTCTCACTCCTTCCATCCTCAGTCTCCTCTGTCCCTGGGGTTGCAGACTAACCAGCCATTAGTGAGCAGTCCCAGGCTGTGACCTCATTAAAAAGTTGTAAATGAGGCACACTGCTGTTCAGAGAGCACACCTGACTGAGGCCCCAGTGGTCTGTCCTGGGGCCTGAGGGAAACTGAGGTGAAGAGGATCAGGTCTGGGGAGAGAGCTAAGGAACTCAGGCTGCAGAGCCACAGCTCCCAGTGAACTCACCTAGTGAAGCTCGAGTCCCTGCTGGCCTGCACATTTACAGGAGTGGGTGCAGCGCAGGGAGGCAGGATTTCCCTCTGAGCTGTCAGCTCTGCTTAATGTCTGCTCTGCTGACCCGTATTAATGGAGGACTTCAAATCCTGAGACTCACAGGTGGTTTTCCTTGCACTGAATTTGCTCTCATGAGCTCTTAACTGCCTGAGTATGAAGGTCTTTTGACTAGAGTCTGTTATAGTCTGTGTCACCTTGCCACACATTCACCACTCCACTGCCAAAGGAATGTTTCCAAAATACAGATTTGATTGTTTGTTTGCTATGAGAACCTTTCAATTGATCCATATAGTTCCCAAAATGGTGTTCAAAGCCTTGACATAGAAGGCCTTTCCAGATCTGGCTCCTACTGACCACCCTACCCTCATCTGCCTCCATTTTCCCTCCCATGTCATAAATGTTATTATTCTCACCATCAGCATCCACTTCACTGCCACTACCTTCTGCATAATTACAATGGTTAACCTTCTATAGAAATAACTATGTGCTTTCTTTAGTGATATACATGTGTTAACTCATTTAATCCTCCCAACCAAGATGTGAAATGAGTGCTATGAGTACCTTCACCTTTCAAAAGAGGAAACTGAGCCACAGAGGTGCTATATAACTTGCCCAGTATCACAGAGTTGCCAGGTGACAGAACTAGGATAAAACCTGGGCATTTAGCCGTAGAGTTCACATTCTTACCCAGCTGTCAGCCAACTATAGCCTATTGTCAAATACAACCCTCCAGTAGTCTTCATATAGTGCGTGAGTTAAGATGGTTTCTACATTTTTAATCGCTAGAAAAAAACTCAGAAGAATAATATTCCTTGACATGTGTAAAGCATATGATATTCACATTCTAGGGTCCCAACAGAAGTTTTACTGGGACACAGCCATGCTCATTCATTTACACATTATGGCCATTCTCATGCTGCAACAGTAAAGCTGAGTAGTTGTGTAGAGCTCACTCATTAGTTCTTAGAAAAGAAACAGCTTTATTTACTTTCACCATTTTTAGATTAGAAAACTGCTGTATTGGTCTCAAACACCATGTTAAGGGTCCAATCTGACAGCCTTGGTGTGATATTAATCGATAAAAAGAACTATATGAAATGTCCATGCAGTGTGTCTGCAGCTGTCAGTGATCATTAAAAGTACACTGTCCTGTTATCATTTGCCTCTGAGAGATAAGAATTTGTCAACATTTTTTCTTCTTTCTACTTGTCATATTTTCCCCAGATTGTAATGGGAATGGTTTATTGACTATACAGTGGAACTAATCTCATTATGTAGACATATCAGATACAATATTCAGAATAACTATATAATAACATGCTCCAAAATTATCCTTGGCAAATGGCAATATAGCTTTCTCCCCTTCTCTTTTGTTATAAAACTGCTCATTTAATTTCAAGGCAATGCCTTGTTTGGAAAGATTTTATTGCACTGTGAACATAAATCACAGGTAACTTGTGATAGGGGAAATTATAGTTGATGTCAGGACATCAGCTTCAAACCCTGCACCTTCTATTTGTTGACTATATGACCTTGGGGTGACTGGGACTTGTTTCAGCATTTAAAATTGAGAACGATAAAAATGTGTATAAAAGGGATCTGGCAGCATTAATTTAAATAAGGTATGAGATAACTGATGAATATTGGAGTTGGGGGGAAAAACAGGGAAGTAAAGCAGATGGACAATTATGTGGAAATTACATATTTTATGGTTTAAGGAAGAGAGAGGACATTGAGGCAATGGGGTCATGGATCATGGGACTTCAGCATTTGCTTCGAGGAGCAGATATACTGAGTCAGGGTTGTTCTATACTTCAGGATGTATCTAGTTTACATTATGTAATCTTATGTATTGAGCAAAGGTAGATGAGATCAACCCCATGGTAAAATGTGGTGATCTACCTTCATTTCATTACTTCCCGAGTAAAGAGAGAGTTCCGATTTTTCATGTATTTTCATCACAGTATTTAAATAACCCAGATTCACAGCTCAAATATTCAGCAAACAGAGAATTAACAAAAATAATTTTCTTCTAAAGTATACAACATAGAAAGTGCTCAAAATGTAATGATTTATTAAAAATAGCTCTCTATTAAAATCACCCATTAATTCTACTGCTGACCTATGGAGACAACACTCAAAGTTATTCAGGTATTTCCAACATCATAAATTCTCTCTCTAAAACAAAATACTGCTTATGTCTTCACTTGAACTCTTATAGTTTCAATGTCTAAATTACCTGAATATCCTTGTACAAAACTTTATAATGAAAAAGAATTTGTAACTGTGAGGTGACAGATGTCAACTAGATTTACTATGGCAATATTGTGTAATGTATGCATATATGTAATCATTATGCTGTGCACCTGACTAATATAATGTTACATCTCAATTATATTGCCATTAAGAAAACTTTCTAGTTTTCCAGTTTATAGATACATGTATTAAAGGAAGGACATTCCAAATGTGGTCTAATCATTTTGGAGTACTGTGAGGTTTTTTTTATTGGTTAATTCCTACAATTCTAGTTATATTTATATTAATGCAGTTAAAGTTGAATTAAATTCATATTTCTCATGTCTGTTTAACATGTACTTTCACATATTCAAGTCTCCCTTATTCTGCTTTTAAAATATTCTTTTACTCTAATTGAGTTAATAATTTATAGCTGTGCCTTGCATGATACTATAAAAGTACAGAACTAAGATTCAAGGCACTTGAATTTTATTCCAACTGTATAAGATCAATGTCTTTGAACACTTCTGTCCTTAGCTATGAAATGATGGATTCAGATGAGGTAATTGCTGAGAACAAAATGCTAAAATATGGGTCTATAATATGCTTAGTGCTGTCCTAAATGCTTTACATTAAAATTTACCATTAAAAACAAACCAGTCAGATAGATACTATTAATATTTGTACTATATTACAAATGAGGAAAGAGGAAAAAACAGCTTGACTGACATTTTCATGGTCACCCAGCTAGTGCATGGCAGAGCAGGCTTGAATCCAGGCAAGGTCCCTTTAGGGTATGTGATAGTCCATTTCTTCAGGACTTTGCAGTTTTTCTCTTAATTTTTATTGTCGATAAAATTACAAACTTCAGAGGGCACCAGTGCAGCTTTATGGTGGCTTGTACCTTCATATCAACAAATACAACATTTTATTTGTAATAAAACATATTAGAGTTGTTAAAAAGACCATTTTGGAGTAACCTGTGATTCCTTTTAAGCTTTGAAAAAAGCAACACCATTACTGAACTTATACTTGTGAAATTTTGAAATTACTAAAGCAAGACTCAAGAACCTGAAGACAAAATTAAGAGAGAATTGAAAACTCATCATTCTACCTGGTATAAACAGCATATGATGGAGTTGATTAATGTCACTAGGCTTATAAAGGAATATAAAGGGGATGGCTGGTCCTGTATCCATGTTGCATACCAACAAACATGGGATCCAAACCAGCCTGCCACAGGAGCATACAAATTAAATGAATGAATGACAAATATTATGTACTGAAGAATTATGAGCTTTTTTTGTACTGAATGGTGTCAAATGTATCAAAAACAAGATAAAATGCCAAGATGACTTTTGTGTCCCCAAATTCACATAACAAGTGTCTCATACTGTGAACAATGTGTGTCACATTGGAACACATTAGCAAAGTAAATACTAGGAACAGATTGGCCACGTATGTTTCAAAACATCAACTGAACCAATAAGTAAAAGAATTTAAGCCTACAATGGGCATGCAGAGGAGTTGGGCAGATGGTAGTGACAGGTCGAAACTACCTCTGTGCTCTTTTCTCTCCTGGCTCACCAGTAGTCATTTCAGCAGCTGGCTGTGAGCTCAGTACACATGGGAGGAAAAGCAGAGAAGAATCACAAACATGAAACTGATTGTTCCTCATTCCATAAACTTTGATCTTATCTCTTAAAATGTTACAGGATGCAGCTTCTGAGGCCTACGAACTTGCGGAAGGTCCGGCCAATAGCATTCTTCACTTCATTATTTCTCAGGCTATAGATGATGGGGTTCAACATGGGGGTCACAACAGTGTAGGACAATGACAGCAGCTTCTTGCTCTCAGGAGAATTGTTGGACTTAGGCCGAGCATAAGTGAGGCTTAAAGATACATAAAAAATGGATACAACAAGGAGGTGGGAGGAACAGGTAGAGAAGGCTTTATGCTTCCCTTTAGCTGATGGAATCTTGAGAATGGAAGCAACAATGCGAGTGTAGGAACACAGGATCAGCAAACACGGTATCATGATGAATATAATGGATCCAACCATTGCATAGATCTCAAACAGTGCAGTGTCTGCACACACCAGCCTCAGCACAGGTGGGCTGTCACAGAAAAAGTGGTTCACCTTGTTGGCGCCACAGAATGGAAAGCTGAAGAGCCATGTGGTCTGCACAGTAGCTACGGGAAAGCCTGGAAACCAAGCGGCAAAAGCCAGTTTGGCACGTGTCCTTGGGTTCATGGTCACGGGGTAGTGCAAGGGATAGCAGATGGCTACGTAGCGGTCATATGCCATGGTAGCCAGGAGGGAACATTCAGCAGCTCCGAAGAAGAAGAAGAAATACATCTGAGTGGCACAGCCACGGAAGGATATGGTTGTGTCCTGGACGATCAAGGTCCCCAGCATCTTGGGCACAATGACGAGGTTGAAGCCAATCTCCAGGAAGGACAAGTTCCTGAGGAAGAAGTACATGGGACTATGCAGCGTGGGGTCAGCTAAGGTAATCAGAATGATGAGGCTGTTTCCCATCAGGGTGACCAGGTAGATGATGAGGAACGTCAGGAAGAGCAACGACTGTATTTCTGTAGGAAGGGATGAGAAGCTCATGAGGACAAACTCGCTAACTGTTGTCAGGTTTCCTCTAGCCATGGATACAGGAATGAATCACCAGCTGTGGTCATGGAGATTTGATTGGAAGAGTCAGATTCTGGATTTATTTTTCAGACTCCTTACTGTCAGGGAAAAAGGTAGGGTTAAGATCTCATTTGGAAGAGGAAGTGCTTTGTATTGTCAAAGAATAAAGACAGGAAGAATGGCCTGAGTCTGATCTCCGAACTCAGGCCATTCTTCCTGTCTTTATTCTTCACAATTGCTCCTTGCTCCCTTCTCCTTCTCTTTCATGATACATTTTCCACTTTGCTACCATATTTGCTAAACATGTTGGGTCACATCTACTTGCACCCATTTTCTCAGCACACTTAATACCTTAGAGGTGGGCTTAAGTGAGAGGGGTCCTGAGGCAATGAACTTGAGCCAGATAGAAAAACAGTAGAAAATTTCCATTTTTTCCAATCACATATTGCCCTTCTTTAAAGATTCATTGTGTTCACCTTCTCTATCTACTGCCAAAATTAGTAGTTGCCTTTTGGATGCATCTAGGGACTTCACTGAAACAATTGAGAAGTATCCAGTGGAGAAAATGAATTCTGTTCTATTTTATATTGAGTTGATTCAAACTAGGAAAAAGAAAAGCCAGAAGAGGTATGGGAAGAATACTTGCAGAATTATAGTACTTTAAATGAACTTTTTCCCCTCTTGATGAGAATTGCAAACTACTTCAAATCATATAATAATTATTCCCTCTTGCCTGAGCAGATATGAAGTAACAGCCTTAGGAGTTTCCACTTCAGTCCAGCAATGCTAACTATTGACAACTGAAGATCAGGACCCACTATAGCCACTAGCTCTCAGGACTGAGATCTAAACACAGTATTGTGCCACAGCTACACAGAAAGTGACTGTGTCCCAGGAGATTCCAACTACTTCTCTTTCAAGAATGAACAAATAAAAAAAAAAGAAGAAACAGATTCCCACAAAAAATTTTAAATATGAGGAACATTAGAGTGAATGCAGAAAGGAAAACATTCATGAATAAACAATTAACCTGGACTATATAAAATAAGAGACAAAATATTTTTAAATTATGAAAAAATTAAATATTTATTTCACTTGTATCAAGGTACCAGTGATATGATGACTATTCACTGAATCTACTGGAGGAGATATTATGTAATCACTGTAATTAATCACAACACAAGAAATACACAATACCTTGAGGGCCTGTGAGGAACCAGGACACCTAATTTAGTCTATGATGGTTTTACAGGCAACAGAGATGACAGTGAGGTTGGCTGAAAGATAGGCAAAGCGTGCATGGTGCTGTATAAAATCATGAAAATATCATAAGAAACAAAGTACCAGGAAAATGAGTAAAATCACAGAGGGAATAGTTTTTGAAGTGAAAGCACTCCTTAGGATGCAGCAAAAGAAATGCAAATACACTCACAACTATGCATCTTGGTCTTTCAGTTATTTTTCTTTTAATTTTGAGAGTAAACTTCCTTTAAACATTCAGAGAGGGAACAAAAATGAAAAAGCAAAACCACAGAAGTTATAACCGAAAGACCTTTTAGGCTACATGCAAAGAAACAACTCCATCTCACATCATTCACAAAGTTGAATTCTAATGGACTAGAGCCTTAAATGTAAGACCTGAAACTATCAAACCCCTAGAAGAAAATATAAGAAAAACTACCTAAAATTGGTCTTGACAACAATTTTTTGGATCTTATGCCAAAAGGACAAACAGCAAAATCAAAAATAAACAAATGGGACTATATCAACTAAAAAGCTTCTGCACAAGAAGGGAAACATTCAACAAAATGAAAGGGCAATCTGTGGAATGGGAGAAAATATTTGCAAACCATATAGCTGATAATAGTTCTACATCCAAAGTATATAAAGAAATCATACAACTTAGTAACAAAAAAAAAAAAAAACTGATTAAACAATGGGTAGAGGACTTGAAGAGACATTTTCCCAAGAAGACCTGCAAATAGCCAATGGGTGCATGACAATGTGCTCAGCCATCACTAATCATCATGGAAATATAAATCAAAACCGCAATGAGGTAACACCTCCCACCCATCGGAATGGCTTTTATCAGAGAATGGCTTTTCTGCAAGGAATTGCAGAAAAGGGAACCCTGTTTGTTATTACTGCAGAATGTGAATTGGTGTAGTTCTGATGCAAAGCAGTATGGAGGTTCCTCAAAAAATTACAAATAGAATAACCATATGATCCAGCACTTCCAACTTATGTGTATGTAGCCAATGAGAATGAAATCACTATCTCACAGAGAGATCTGCACTCCCGTGTTCACTGCAGCTATCATTCACCAGAGCTAAGATGCCACAACAACCTAAGTGTCCACTGAGGAGCGAATGGACAAAAATGTGGTACATATACATAGGCAATATTATTCAGCCATAAAAAAGGAGGAATCCTGCCACCTGTGACAGACAACATGGATTGGACTTTAGGGCATTTTGCTAAGTAAAACAAATCAGACAGGAAGACAAACACTTGTAGGAGCTTACTTTTACGTGGAATTTAAACAAAACTAACTCTTTGAAGCAGAGAGTAGATTGTTAACTGCCAGGGTCTAAGGGTGGGGGAAAGGGGGGAGATGTTGGTCAAAGAGTACAAACTTCTAGTTATAAGAGGAATAAGTTCAGGGGTCTAAAGCACAGCATGGAGACTATAGTTAACAATACTGTACTATATCCTTGAAATTTGCTAAGAGTAGACTTTAATGTCTCACCACACACACACACACACACACACACAAGGTAATTATGTGGTGCGGGGATGGATGTGTTAACTAACCTTATTATGGAAACATTTCATGATATATATGTTATTAAATCATGTTTTATTCCTTAAACTTACAGTATTAAATATTAATTATAACTCAATAAAGCTGGAATTAAAGGAACTCATAGAACAGAAGATTCTACTGAAAACACAAATGAGAAAACACAATATAATCAGGTTTAAAAATTTGGAGAGAGTTAAGACTTTATAATTGCATAGGAAATACTGGAAAAAACTGGATTTGCAAATAAACTAGAAAAATAGACACAGAAAGCAAGAAATAGAATTGAGAGCAGAAATTGATTTGAAAGTTGTAAAATTGGTAAATATATCTGAGTTTGTCCTTTGAAATTAAAAGTGAAGATAAATTATTGAAAAATCTAAAAAAGACATAAATGGAGGAAACAAAAATATTCAATATTAGGAATAAGAAATGGGAAATAACATCAGAAAAAGAAATTTTAAAACTTATAAGAGAATACATTTGCATTAAAAATGTGTGATTTTTTAAAATGAAATAGATGATTTTCTAATATATGTAAGGATACCCTCATTTAAAAAAATATGATGATGGACAGTGACTGCAATAGGGTGTAGGGGGACTTGATAATATGGGTGAATGTAGTAACCACAATGTTTTTCATGTGAAACCTTCATAGAGTGTGTATCAATGAAACCTTAATAAAAATAAAAAAAATAAATAAAAACATAAAATATGAGTGTGTTGAAGTAATTTTATTAAAAACTTCCCAAAAAGGCTATGAGCTGGGATAGTGCAATGAAAAAAGTCCTCCAGTTCTTCAAGGAATAGATGAATCCTGTGATTTAGAACAAAGAAAAAGATGTGGTTCCCAATTAATATTACAACATTACACACTCCTTTTACCTATATGAACATGTAAGATCCAACTTCAAAAATATGTGCATAGGAAAAAAGAATGGCAGCAAATGCAACAAATTTTAGCATTATTCACCTGTAAGTGGTAGGAAAAGGAGCAGTTATTTCTACAATTTCATTTTCTGGTTTTCCAAATATTTATCATGAGCTACATTTGTTTTATAGCAGCAGTAAACATGGTAATGATACAAATGAAAATGGCCACATGGAAGTAGCGTTTACTAAACACATAATAGCATTATGCTATGCATTTTTACTTCTTTTCTTTTTCATAGGCTCATAACAACTGTCTGACATAGATGCTGTTATCCTCCCCATACAGCTCATGCGTGAACTGAAGGTTAGAGAGGTTAAGTAATTTGGTAGTTAGGGAATGTGGTACCCTTTATGCCTGGGCAGTAAAAGGCAAGAGCCTGCACTCAGAGCCATAATCAGAAAAGATACAATAAAAGCAACACTTGGGTTTTCAGTAATGCATAGAGTATGAACGCAAAATGTATCTTAGGTCTCACCTTCTGTTGCCTTGTCATCCAGGTACTTTACTCTCCACCAGAGCTGAGCTTCTCAACACTCTTTGAGCAAATTACTTCCCTTCATGCTGTACACCAGAGGGTGGCAATTTTTTTCTGTAAAAGGTCAGGAATAAAATATTTTAGGCTTGTGGACCATGTGATTCCTTCTATATCTACTCAATATCCAGAGAAATACATGTACATATGAAACACATAAACTTAGGTATACAAATAAACACTGAGGTATACACATATATACACTACCTAAACAGATGAGCTTGACTGAGATCCAATAAACTGTATTCATAGACATTAAATTTTAAGTTTGATATAATCTCAGGGGCCATAACTATTATTCTCCTTTTGATATTTTTAACCATTTAACAAATGTAAAAGTCATATTTTTAGCTCACAGGCCATATCTAACACAGGGCTGGCTACATTTCACCCATGAGGTGTACGTGCCAGTTCATGCTGTGTATCTTTACACGTACATCATTTGTTTGCACAGGCCACATTCTCTACCTGGCTGACTTTTTCCTTCTCATTTTCAAAACTCAGATTGGTTTTCCTTGTGTTGCTTCCAAAGAGGGCCATTCCTGGATGCTATTAGACTGCTTAATTTTTCAGTTGTACATTAATTATCTACTGATATCTGAATTACCAGGTTACTCTGCAAATCCTTCAGACCAGGAACTACTTGTTATTTATAGGAATAAGCCCAATGCAAGTCCAGATTATACTATTTTCTGTAGTTTTGTATAAGTGAGTGGAAAAATAAACACGAGAATTTCAGAAAGTTCATTATTTCC